AAAAAAAAATTTTTAAAAAACAAGACATTGTATTTTCCTGCTTTTTTTTTCCCATTTTGTCCCTCATAGTCGAGGTATACCTATGATGAAAATTACAGGCCTCTCTCATCTTTATAAGTGGGAGAACTTGCACAATTGGTGGCTGACTAAATACTTTTTTGCCCCACTGTATCTGGTGCTGATTCTAAATGTAATGAACAGTAGAAAAGCAGGTGTGAAATAGCTACATGCAGGCTTCTCCCAGAGCAGCTACACGTAGGCTGAAAATTAGCGCATCTTAAGGATTGTGTACAGTGAAGGTGGAGTAGGGAGGTTTCTATTGACCCATCTTGATCCCTAGACCAGTGTTTCTCAACTTTAGCAACATTAAGATGTGTGGACTTCAACTACCAGAATTCCCCAGTCAGCATGTGAAGTCCACACATCTTAATGTTGCTGAGGCTGAGAAACATTGCCCTAGACATTTGCTGTAACACCAATTGTATATACAACTCTGACTGAGCAGGAAAGGAATCTTGCAATCAGTGCAAATGGAAGTTTGATGTGTAGCTGCTATGGAAAAAGGCAAATTCCATGTTAGGATTCATTAAGAAGGGAATCGAAAATGAAGTTGCTGATGCTTTAATACAAATCTCTAGTGAGACTACACCTGGAATAGTGTGGTACAGGCTGTCTCACTAAACCTCAAAAACCTCCAAAATTTGAGCTAGAAAAGGGGCAGTTGAAATGTTTACCTGCTAGAGCTGCTCTCAAAAGAAGAAAAACGGCGTCATACACTGTTTAGCTTGGAGTGAAAGAGGGTAAGGGGAGACCTGATAGAGATATATAAAATCATGCATCGTGAATGGCTATTGGCTTTCTTCCTCAAGCACAGCATTAGTATTCAGGGTTTTCCACTGATGCAAAATGTGGAGGGATTCAGGGCCAATAATAATGCAGCACAGAGTTAAACTATAAAATTTGCTGCCATTAGATGTGACATCCCTTTAGATACTTTAAAAAAGGACCAAACAGACTCAAGGAGAATTGTACCCTTAGTGTTGTCTTTTGATGCCTGTTTGCTTACCAGCTCTTGAATTAAGATGGCATATCATCAATACTAACAGCTGGAAGTAATTGTAGAAAAGAGCTATTGCCCTCCTGCCTGTGCTTGTGAACTTCTCGAATGCACCTGGTTGGTCAGAGTAAGACACAGAATACTGGATTAAATATGCCCAAAATATGCCCAACAGAGTTCTTCATGGTATCTTTTGGTCAAAATTGGAGAGTAAAGATGCCATGTTTGGCTGACGCATGGTCTGAAACCACATGATGCAACAATGTTGCTGAAACTAAGCAAGTCTAGATCATCAGTGGGACACTGGGAATCTCAAATATGGCTAGATGAGTTTTTTTCAAATGAGGAATAGATAGAAAGCAAACAAAATGCATGGATGTGTCATTTGTGCATTCCAAGAATTTCATGAGTTGAACTGTAGTCTTTATATTTGAATAGTGGGTTTTGCATCTGGCACTTAGCTGTACTCTTGTTGTCTGTCCAGCTGACCCCCATCCTATGTCTTCAGGCAAATCTCATTCCAAAACAGCTGCAGACTCTGCAGTGCCAAAACGAGTGGGCCTGCGTCATGTGTCCCAAGTGATCTCTGATGTGTATGGTGACCGGATGGCAACTGGTAACAGCTATGGTGATGCTTCTTCCTTCCCACTGCAACAGAAGATTTTAGTCTGTTCTCTGTTGCTCTTAGCCAAGCAACAGAATGCCAAAGAAGTTAACCTAGGAAAGGTAAGTGTATTAATTCTCCATTTCCATGCAAGTACTCTCCTGTAGTACTTTTAATTAGTGCTGCTTCATACTGGTTCACAAGGGTCTCATGAGGGTGACTAGTTCACAGCAGTGTGAATGAATCCTATTATTAGCTGATTTAATATTTTTATGCAAAACTTGCATTCTGAAACAGCTTGAATCAAGTGACATCAAAAGATTGCTGCTCTCTGCCTCTTCCTATCCTGTGCCTTGTCTTTTTAAAAAGATACTGAGAATTAATACTGTCTGTTTACATAGCAAATAAAGTTTCCAGAAATCTTCCCTGGCCTGAATTAAAGATGATTGTATGAAATACAGTATTTTGTGCAATATAGGATACATGTTATATCCTAAAACCCTTAAATTAACTGCCTAACATTCCCATCCTATTATCTTCTCATGGCATTTGAAAAGCGGAGGAGAGAATAATTCGTTCTATAGTTCCTAATTTTTGTAGCAGAACGGTATAGTTGCCTATATTCCAAATTCCTCCAAAATCCTGGGAGCTGCTTTTATTTTAGAAGAGCAAATGCCGAAGCTAAGTTGGAGCAATTATTTGTCCAATATTTCTAGTAAAATTGTACTTAAGTGGGATTTAGCATAAACTCTGAATTTTTTTGCAATTTATATATTAGAGATTTTTGTACCTCTTTCCATGACCACTGTCTCTTTTCTTTGATTTAAGAAGAAAGAATTTAGTAGCTATACTAAATATAGAGCTATGCTTTGCTAGCAACTGCTTTGGCTGGGCTCTTTGGGTTATGATTATGAAGAACATATTTTGGTTACAAACTACAATGATGGAATAAAGTAGGCTGAAGCTGGCAAGAGTGAGTTTTGTCATGCATGCTAGTTTCTGTGTGCTCTTGTACTCAGTAATAATAACTGGAGCTCCTTAAACCTTCCCTTTTTCTAGCTGCATGAAGCCTACAGCAGAATTTGCCAGAAACAGAAAATAGGACCTGTTGACCAATCAGAATGCCTCTCGCTCTCAGCTCTTTTGGAATCTAGGGGCATTGTGGGATTCAAAAAGGCTAAAGAAGCACGGCTGTCTAAGGTACTTCTTCATATTGGCTGGGAGAGCAGTTTAGATTAACAGAACATGCTCTTCCTAGGCTGAAAGAGCTAAGATTCAGTGTACAAAATTTTCCTTACTCTACTGCTTTTCAGAGTATAACCCTTTGAAGGGTTGGCTGTCTCACCCCATTGTAGTAAAGAAGATAATAGGGAGCAATAAAAATTTGCCAGTAATTTTTGTCTTGGCTTTCCTTGGAAAATCTAGCATGCCAGCGTTCTTTAATGCCTGAAAGGGCTCTGCTGGCTCCTAGAAATTTTTTTTCTTTAGATGCAGCCATCTTTAATGTCTTAGTTGTATGGACAGAATAGTTGCTATTTCCTCAGCTCTCCTTTCTTATGATTATGTGAGACATCCACAGAGTATAGCTCTTTTGGTTGGTGTCTGTTCTTCTTTGCAGAACTGTAGAAACAATAAGTAAAGAGGGAACAGAGTTGAATTACTTTCTCACCAGAGCAGTTCGAACTGCATGTTTAACATCTGTCACTCTTACCTATGTTGGTAGAACTGCCAGAAGCTCAAGCATATCACAATATATCTTATTGACTGTCATAGTTGTTTTGGTTGTGCTGCATGGATGTGATGGAGTTCTCTTAAGTACTCTGTCCTCCTTGAAATTTGCCTATTTTTGCAAAATCCTAGGACTTTCTGGAATATACAGTAAATAGTCTTTAATGAGGAAGCTAATAAATGCACCATTATGGCAACCAATTCATGCTAATGGTGGGAATTCTCCTATGGTGGGTAATAGATTTGAAATGTTGTGGATTCAGAACAATAGAAAAGTTCTGCAACTCAAGGGAGTGATTAGTAAACCCCCCCCTTTTTTTTTTTTTGCTTGTACACATTCATCTTAACTTTTTCAGTTAGAAAAAAAGAGGGGATGCAGATATTTGAGGCATTTTGGTAAAATTTTCTCTTCATTCTGTCCCTCTTCTTTCAACGTTAATTCTGTGGCAACTGGTAATGGAAATTGTATGGCAGATTGCTGATTCCTGCAACAATCATATTTCTGCTCTTGTAAGGTGGTTGGGAATCAGCATATGCTGGAAGTTGGACTACTTCAGTAACAACATGATAGCAGAACTTACACTTTTTTTTCTTCTATATAGACTAAAGAGAAAGTTAGAAATTGCTAATATCTACCATTTGCCCTTGATGTTATGCATTTGGGCAATCATGGATACTCAGCAATTTCCAAGTAACGCATTCTTTTTTTTCCAACCAGGTCTTTCTGAAAATAGAAGAGAAGGATGTGGAGCATGCCCTCAAAGACGGAATCTTGGTTGGAAGCATTTTGGCTGGGGGCCTTTAGAACTGTCGCTCTGCTCACTTGAACATTTTGCCCTATATGTCTGTTAGCTTTAGGAACAGACTAATAAACCCAAAAGTCCCAAATATTCTGAATATTTGGGACTTTTGGGTTTATTATTTTTAAACAATGTCAGTGTTATAAAAATTGCCCTGCCTTTATTTTCAAGAGTTTTTAAAACTAAGACTTTTTATCCTTTGACTGGGTATCACCCTTCCTTCCCATTTGGAGATTTCTTTTTGAATCCCAGAAATATTTCCCCCTCTTTCCCAGCTACAGTGTTGTCATCCTTTTCTCTGCTTCCCCTTCCCTCTACACATATGGAACTGCCGGTGCCCTTCTTGTGGTATCTGTCTCTGTGATTAATGCCAGAGATGAAAAAGGACGAAAGATGTCAGTAAGAGAGTCCATTTGCAGAGGCACAACCATTAATGTTGCAAGATAAAATAACGCAGTAGCATCTCTCATGAGTTCTTTTGAAGTTGGACAGTTTCAATGAAGTAGATGTCATTCATGTGGAGGCTTAGCCTCTTGAGAACTGCAGAGGGGCTTAGCCACACACACATACACACACACACACACACACCCCTGAGGGCTCTGAACATCTTAACATATCTGAACTGTGGCTATAGCCTTAGTACCAAAACTAGTTTTAGACCTGGAGCAAAGAGTCTAAAGAGTTGGATGAATTGAATAGCTTGATGCTTTTGTGTGAGTCTAAAATTCTTACTAAGCACACAGGGTTGACTTCTGAATTGAAATCTGCTTGTTTGTGTGCATATATGTGTTTGATCAGGGTTGATTTGTTTTAACTACAAAGCCATATGTATTTACATATCACGTACAGTGCCTTTCTCCACTGATTAATTTAGAATAGTTCTGATTTATTGAAATATGTACAACCAGATGTTTTTTAACAGTTGGAATTATTAACATACTGCCATTGCTTTTTTAATTTATAGATTAAAATAGCTGATCTTGCAGTTTTGAAGTATAGGATGTATGTTTTGTTCAGTAGATTCTCATATTTACAATGTTTAGCTATTTTCATTAGAGGGGGAGTTGTGCTATGGCTTTCTGGTTTGGTGGGGATGTATACACACCCCGCTAATTGTGGGCTTGTGCTATGTTCAGTTTTAAATGTACTTGAAATTTGTATCTCTTGCATATTAGCTTGTTCCAGATTATGCATACTTTAGCATCTATCACTACTGCTTCTCTCTGACTTTGGAAGAGTACCTACTACAAAATCTTGGGGACATGCAATTCTGTAACTAATACTATGATTAAATTTTAGCCAGAATCATGGTATTGCTGAATAACTGGGGGCTTTCAGTTTAATTAGTGTTGTCCCCTAATTTTTCGTACTGCCTGATAACCTCACTTCATAAAGCTGCTCAAGTGGCCATAGCAAGAGATGTATTACATACATTTTTGGGCATGTAGATTTTATAGCCTCCTTGTTCAGATATGGTGGAATGGGATGACTTGATCCATCTGCATCCCTGATGGCTGACTCCTGTAAACCACAATGGCATCAGATGTTAAAAATCCATGACAGCATTAAGAGAAACTAGCCCAGCCCCATAATAACAAAGGGAGGCTTTGTGGTTGTCTCTCCTGGCCACGAACCGTGAGTGGTTAACCATTGCAATATATCCAACAATAGAAAAATGCCGAGGCCCACTAATGTGAAATTAAATAATGTTAACCTATGAGATTCTAATTTTCCTAAGGTTTTAATTGATACACTATTGTCTACGGGGTTTGAAGAACCAAAATTAGTCTTTGGACATCTAACACTGTTAGCAAAGCATTCTGCTTGTATAAGCCAGCTTTTAAAGAGTTAATGGCCTAGAGCAGCCACAGCTAATAGAAAGCAGACTTCAGGAAGAATTGGGAGCAGATGGGCAGCTGGATTTTAAATCATACTTCTCCTGCTAGGACCTTGAAAGTGATACAGTACTCACTACAGCACGGACATCTATTGTCCAGACCAAGGGTGCATGCATTGTGTGTGCGTGTACATGTTTTTTCCAAAAAAGTCTGTACATAAGAAAATACCTACCTACTTCCAGTAGGTATTCCAGGTCTTATGCACTGTAACATTATTTTGTACATTGGGGAATGTTCTCTATCCATTGTTTATTTGGAGGCAGCCATTCTTAAATCATCCTTACCTCTCAATTGGCCTGGTTTTTAATCAAATATAAGAAAGAACTCTCAGTCAATGCCCGTCTTAATTTGAGCCTTTGTTGTGGGGAGCTCTTCTACATGATGGCATTTAAAAAATAAAAATCAACTCAAGGTGACTGAGAATTGAGTACCTGCTGAGGTGGAAAAGGATCTGTGGACTTCGCTATTGATTATTACTAAATGATCAGATTCTAATTTTAATCCTCTGGAGGAGGTAGGAGTTTCTGGTGATTTAGAACAAAGTTTTTCTTGTTGAAAGGAATACTTCTGCAAAATCACATGGTAGTAGGTGAAAGTCAGGGGTTGGTTCTTCACTGAAAGTTATTTACATACATTTGTCATATATTAACATTTATGGGAAGAATTAAATCAGCACTATTGCAGTCAGCTTACTTGAAGAGGCAAATAAGGATTTATTTCCTGGAAAATTAATTGCTGTGAACATCTGAGTAGGGCTTCTCTAAGAATCTCAGATCCTGTTTCCTTTTACTTACTGTCTTGTTTCCAGGGAACAAGGAAGTAACTGGGATCTTCTTTAAAAAAAAAAAATCAAGGGCTTAATTGGGCTCAGAATCATGCCAGCTTGCTTTGATCTCTCAGACACTTCCCACACAAACTGAGGAACAGTCTCATCAGCACTTCTGGTCTATTCTCTCTGGTAATGAAGCCCTGAAAAAGAATCTATGGCCCAGAAGTGCTGCTGACCATGAGGCTGCAGTAGGCTTAGAGGTCTAAGTGTAAGATGTGTTGGCTTCAACTCCCAGAATTCCCCAGCCAGCAGGAGTTGAAGTCCACACATCTTAAAGTTGCCAAGTTTGAAAAACTGATTTAGATGAATACTGCCCCCCTGTTTTTAGTTAGCTGAGGGAAGTTCACTTACTCTGAATTCCTCCTGTCTTGATTTATAAATGCCACTAAAAGCTATAGTTCTGTGAAAAACTCCTTGCTGTCTTGTATTTTGAAAAAGGTTGTATATCCAAGTTATCCAACATGCAATGAGCCTGTGTGTAAACAAGCCATTGTCCCCTTGTACCCAGTAACTGGCAGTAAGCGCAACCAGATAGGCTCTCATGCCACTTTAAGAATCTTGGCCCATTTCTCCATGGTAAGCTTCAACTAAATAACATTTAAGGATTTTTAAAATTATTAACTGCTCACTTCAGCTCCTGCAATTCAATAAAATTCTTGTCCATCCCTACTCTAGAAAGATGATGTCTGAAAGATACAGCTTGGCCTATTTCCACTGGCTGAACTCCCCAGCAATGAAACAAGCTATGATTCTTACGTGCATTTAGTGTTGGCATTCACAGATGAGTAAGCATGAATTGTGCAGTTGTTCAGTGTTTGAGTAAAGGAGGAGGAGGAGGATCTTGTAAATCTGAAAAGTGGCTTCACTGGACAGGTCTGCTGTCTTACCTGTTAACGTGCAAAAGGAATCTGTTCACTAGATGTTACACTTCAAAACATTGAATCTGATTATTAAAAACCCAGAGGGAAGGAGAGGCAAAATACCTCTTGTAATACAAACGTTACAGTGGCTCTTGTGGTGTTTTTATCTCTAACTCCAAGAGACTCTTCAGCCCCTGAACTGAATGCTGGCCCTTGTGCAAAAAATGGGAGCCTAATGCAAGAAATCCACAAATTGTTTGTCCAAAGGTCTGGCTATTGAGATCTGGGCCTGAGGAAACTCTCAGGAGTACTGGTGGTGTACCTAGCTTTCTAGAGTAATCTAACAGAACAAGGAAGTGCCTTGCTATGTGAAGTTTGTAATCCAAGGTTTAGAGAAAAAAGAAGAAATGGATAAAAGGAAGGGGCAACATTCCAGCATGGGACTGAAATATCAAAATATTTGTTTAATATCCTTGAGCACACTGATGGGATTTTGAATCTCTATGTTTGCCCAGTAGCAATGCAACCTATAGGAAAGTTTGCCTTGCGTTTGAAGAAATGTGTTCTCTGATCTGTTGTAAATTTACTGCCAAAATATTTATTGAATTACCTAATGGATTTTGTTGAATGGAATTGTTCCCAACTGCATTTTTAAATGCCTTTTGGAGAAGTGCATAATTTCTGTAATGACTGCATTAGGCTTTCTTTGGCAGGTTGAGGGTCTTGCTCCAAAAACCGGTAGAACAGTGGTTTTGGAGAGCCTTGAGACCTTGCAAGGCTTAAGGACCCCATTTTGTCTATTAACACCCAACTCAAAAACACAAGCCCCCCCCCCCCGAATTTTGAGTGCTGCATTGCATTCACTCTGAGGGCCACCAAGAGGATGTTGCCAGACCCTATGTGGTCCTGAGCTGCACATTTGCGTGCTTCAATTTGTTGTAAGCCTCTGTCTTTTAATTCTTTTATGAGGCTAACAGCAGGTCTCCAAACAGTGTACAGGCTTTTGAGTTTGCAGACATTTCATCAGCAAAGATGGTAAACAAAGGAAAGCAGAAACATGGGGGGGGGGTGGCTGCTGTTCAAATCATGTCTGTGTTTAGTTTCAGTCTTAGCTGGAATGTGGGAGGAGGCTAGACATGCATACTAGGTCTTATCAAACGCAGAGGGGTATTAGGTTGTACCCTGACTCCCCGAAATTGCTGAAATGAAACAAGCAAACAATGAATGACTCCCCATTTCTTAAGAATAAATAAGAAATCACAATTATTTTGAACTTCATCTTTAAGCAAAACATCCATTGGTTCTGTTAAAAAAGAAATGTTAAGTTGCTTAAACTTCTAGTCATCATTGTTCCTTAATCTGTATCAGTCTTCAAGTTCACTGTGGGATCTGTACAATCAGGCCAGGTTTGGGTATGAGATTTTCACATTTTCCCTCTGGAAACTTTCCTGCTGTTGGATGTCTTGTGAGATGCAGAAGATTCTTTACCTGTCAAAGAAATCT